AGGATGGGGGGAAAAAAGCAAAACATACAGGAAACTAGAAATGGAAAATTATTTGTTGACAATAGCATGTATGTTGATGTGCTTGATTGAGACAATATACAGTGTACTCTGGATGGAAAATCTCATTTTGTATGCTGTAATGATGTACAGTGAATGAATGTAAACAAATAAATTTAAGTAAGACATTTAAAAAAAAAAAGAAAAAAAAAAAGAAAAAGGATGCTGGACTCCCACATGGCTGATCATGGTTCGAGTCCTGGACCTGGTGGCTTGCTTTCTCACTTTCTCTCTCTCTCTCACTCTGTCTCTCTCTGGTCAGATTAAAATAAATAAATAAGGTTAAATAAAATAATTTTTTTAAAAAATGAATATGGATTTAGTGGATAAATTGTGGAATAGATTGACATAGGAGAGATTAGAATCAGGGAAAACAGGGAAAGTCAGGGAAAACAGATGAAAAGCTATTTCTTGAGGTTCAAGTAAGAGAGGTTGAGGATTGAACTAAGTTGGTAGTAATGGGGAATGGAGAAGAAGGGCATATTTGAGACACGATTTGGGAGGCAGAATCAAGAGGACCTACCTGGTGAGCAATAGAATATACAAGGAATAAGTGAGAAAGCAGAAGTAACAGTGATTCCATGGGTTCTAACTGGATGGCTGGAAGGATGGGGGTGCCACTGACAGAGGAAGGAACAGAGGAGGAGGACCCCACCTGGCTGGGAGGTCACGTCACGAGTCTAGGTGTAGACACACCGAACGTGCCTTCAGATGGAGCTATCCAGATCTAGCACCTGGGAAAGAAATCTGGGCTGTGCAAGTGTATATGTGGGCACATGTGTTTTAGCAAAGGCCTGGAAAGCTGCTACTGAAAAGAGGAAACTGTAAGAATGATTGAAAATATTTGGTCAGAGAGGGAAGAAGAAAATCAAGAAAAAGAAATATTGCCAAAACCAAGGAAAGTTTTGAGCAGGAAGAGAACAGCCAGCAGTGGCCATGAGGTAAACCCAGAAAACTTGGATTTGGCTATCATGAGCACTTTGGTTATCTTGTGGAATCATTTCTTGGGGATGAGTTGGGGCCGAAGACAGAGAGCAGTGGGTCAGGAGTGAGTGAAGGAGAAGAAGCACAGTTAAGTAAACTGTTCTTTCAAGAACTTTGGCTACAGAGTACCTTGAGCTCCATAGAGACAGCGCCGGGGCAAGTAAGAGCCGGATGGGCACTGGGTGACTCTGTGCCTCACGGAGGAAAGATAACTAAACATGGGCAAAGGAGATCCTAAGAAGCCGAGAGGCAAAATGTCATCATATGCATTCTTTGTGCAATGAAGGAGGAGCACAAGAAGAAGCCCCCGGATGCTTCAGTCAACTTCTCAGAGTTCTCTAAGAAGTGCTCAGAGAAGGGGAAGACCATGTCTGCTAAAGAGAAAGGAAAGTTTGAAGATATGGCAAAGGTGGACAAGTCCCGTTATGAAAGAGAAACGAAAACCTATATCCCTCCTGAAGGGGAAACAAAAAAGAAGTTCAAGGATCCCAATGCACCCAAGAGGCCTCCTTCGGCCTTTTTCTTGTTCTGTTCTGAATATCGCCCAAAAATCAAAGGAGACCATCCTGGCCTATCCATCAGTGATGTTGCAAAGAAACTGGGAGAGATGTGGAATAACACTGCCGCAGATGGTAAACAGCCCTATGAAAAGAAGGCTGCTAAGCTGAAGGAAAAACACGGAAAAGATATTGCTGCATACTGAGCTAAAGGAAAGCCTGATGCAGCAAAAAAGGGAGTTGTCAAGGCTGAAAAGAGCAAGGAAAAGGAGGAGGAGGAAGACGAGGAAGATGAGGAAGAAGAGGAAGATGAAGAGGATGAAGATGAAGATGATGATGAATAAGTTGGTTCTAGCACGGTGTTTTTTCCTTGTCTATAAAGCATTTAACCCCCCTGTACACAACTCACTCCTCTTAAAGAAAAAAAATTGAAATGTAAGGCTGTGTAAGATTTGTTTTTAAACTGCACAATGTCTTTTTTTGTATAGTTAACACACTACCGAATGTGTCTTTAGATAGCCCTGTCCTGGTGGTATTGTCAGTAGCCACTAACCTTGCCTGGTACCGTGTGGGGGTTGTAAATTGGCATGGAAATTTAAAGCAGGTTCTTGTTGGTGCACGGCACAAATTAGTTGTATCTGGGGATGGTAGTTTTTTCATCTTCAGTTGTCTCTGGTGCAGCTTACACGAAATAATTGTTCTGTTAACTGAATACCATTCTGTAATTGCAAAAAAAAAAGTAGCAGCTGTTTTGTTCACATTCTGAATGGTTCTAAGTAAATACAATTTTTTTTATTAAAAAAAAAAAAAAAACTATGGCTACATAGAGAAGAGAGAGATAGGGTAACAGCTAAAGGGTAGGGGTGGTCCAGGAGCATGGGGCAGGACTCAAGGCTGAAGGAGGATTGTTGTTTGTCTTAAGATCGTAGAGATTCAAGCATGTTTGTAGGCTACGGGTGAGAAGATGTTCAAGAGGGAGCGGCAGTTAACAGTGCCAGCTTTTGGAATGCTCTTTCCAAGATTGCCTTTTGATCAGACAACCTTTGCTTTGCTTTCAGCAGAGCTCTTTTCTCCCCACAGAGCTTATTTTCTCTAAGACTTCTGTTCCAAATTGTCTTAAATCCAAAAGATAGGATCTATTCGAATCCTTTATTGTAATTCAATCCCTAAATATTTAACCAGAAAATTGTAATAGAAACTTTTCCTGAAGTGACTTCAAAGACTGCAGTTAAGGAGTTTACTTCAAATGGAAACAAAGCTTATGGTTCCAGAAAATCTTGATGATTATATTAAGTCAGGCTGATCGGGAGCACTGTTGTTGATTCTGGAAGAAGCTGGAATGGTTTCGGTGCTTGGAGGAGGAAGTCACACGAACCTTAGCAATTGAAAGATCGTTACTATGTCCTTCAGTAGCGTTCTATCTTCTAACCCAATGAACGAGCCTTTTTAATATTATTTAAAGTATCCGACATTAACTGAACCCTGAACTGAGAGTGAGGCTCCTCGTCACGCTTACAGCCTGCTGTTTTACAACATACCCAAGCACAAGCGATAATAGCAAGAAAGTTAGGTTTGATCTCCACCCACACTAAGCCTTATTGGTGGACCAAGTATTACCGACTTCTTTCTGTTTAGATTTGCTTTGTAAATTGTGTGACTTAAAAAATAAACAAATCAAATTATATACATACATAATATATAAAAAAATTAAAATATAATAAATTACATATATATATGGTTATTGGAAAAGTCATGACACGTTCGCATAGAAAAAATAGGTCATGAGTTTTCTGTCAACCCAGTAGTATCTAAAACCTAGTTCTCAGTAGCTGTGTTCATTTATAAGCACGGCAGACCAGAGGGGTGGGAGAGGATTTTCTGAGTCTGGTTTAAAAAGAAATTCTAGGGGCTACCAGATGGTGGTGGCACTGGTGGTGGTGGTGGTTAAGGGCTCTGGGCTCCCACATGGCTGACCACAGTTTGAGTCCCCTGGCAGCTTGCTTTCTCACTTTCCATCTCTCTCTCTCTCTCTCTCTCTCTCTCTGCCCCTATCTGGTCAAATTAAAATAAAATAAATAAAATAAAATAATTAAAAAAAAAAAAGAAAGTCTACCATGTTGTAATCTTAGGAAGTCAATTTATACATAGCAATTTCCAGCAGCAAAGAAATTCTGTGTTTTCTTATAAAGAAATAATTTGAATGTGCCATATTTCTTTTCTTTTCTTTTTTTTTTTTTTTTTTTTTTTAGATTTTTGCTACAGGGCATGTGCGCTCACCAGAGAGACAGAAAGTGAGAAATCACCCCCCCAGGGGATGTCCACGACACAATTCTTTCTCCTCCATTCTTCTCTCAGGATCTTGGGCACGCACTCACACGCACCCAGCGCGAGTTTAAGCCACCGGGTCCAGAACTCGAACTGTGGTCGACTACATGGGAGTTCAGCGACATAACCATTATGCTAACTGCTGGTCCCCCATATTTCAAGACAGTTTTTTTATCTAGTGTTTAAACAAATTGTTATTATGAAATAGTGTCTGCTTTAAATTTCTTTTTTTTTGGAGAGGTTTTTGCTATAGGGTACATGCACTCACCAGAAAGACAGAGAGAGACAGAGAGACAGGAAGGGAGAAATCGCTCCCCCCTGAGGGGGGGATGGCCATGCCACAATCCTTTCTCTTCCATTTTCCTCTCAGAATCATGGGCACACACGCACATGTGCCTGTTGTGAGTTTAAGCCACCAGGTCTGGGACTCAAACTGCAGTTGACTACGTGGGAATCCAGCGACACAGCCATTATGCCAACTGCTGGTCACAAATTTCTTTCTTTTTTTTTTTTTATAAGAGAGATTTTTTTTTACCATAAGGTGCATGCGCTTACCAGAGAGACAGAAAATGAGAAATCACCCCACACACACACCCCTAGGGGAGAAGGTCACACTGCAATCTCTTCTCTTCCATTCTTCTCTCGAGAATTTGGGCACACGTGCACACATGCCCAGCGTGAGTTTTAAGCTGCCAGGTCTGTGACTCGAACCGTGGTCACCTATGTAGGAGTAGAGCAATGTGACCATTATGCCATCTGCTGGTCTCTGCTTTAAATTTCTTTATAGTTCTTTTGTAAATATTGATACCTATAGGGTATCAATATTTCAACCATACCTATGGTTGAAAAGGTTACTGCAGGGACAGAGATACACAAGGAGGAGAAACTGCTCAATAAAAATGCCTTAAAAAATAAGCTTTTTAACCTGAAGGGAATTGCCCAAGAAAACCCTGTGGGAACTAAAGTGTTTGTTTATGATATTTAAGCCAGTGTGTTACACTGAGTGCATGGTTGTGTTGATAACTTGTGTTTCAGTTGTATGTTGTTCTGGCTAGGAGTGTAAATACAGAGACCCTCCTAGTGGGAAGGTTCCCCGATACATTGAATCAGTTGAATCATCAAGGCTCCTCTCACTGGTATAACCTTATTAGCTGATGAGCTGTATGTGCAGGAAGCCTCAAGAGCTGAGTATGTTCCATATTCGATGAGAGTACTCAACTGTCTTGGCATTTTATATTCTTTTTTTAAAAATTATTTCATTTTATTTATTATTATTATTTCATTGGACCAAGAGAAAGAGGGAAATTGAGAAACCAAGTTTGAACTGGTTCAGGTCTAAGACTTGAACTGTGGTCGGCCATGGGGAAGTTCAGTATCTTAACCACCATGCCACTGCTCGCCCCGGTATTTCATATTCAAAGTGCCTTACAACAAATAGATTCGTATGTAGGTGTGGTATTTTAGAACTCTCTTCTTGAGAAGGGGTGTGTGTGTGTGTATGTGTGTATATGTGTATTTTTTTCCCCTTTATGAGAGAGAGACAAGTGATTTGCTTTTTAAAGTGTATTTATTCCTTCCGCAAATAGAAAGAGAAACAGCATCCCCATCAGGGTCTTGGCCCCAGGATCCATTCTTCAGCCAGCCCTGGATCACAGGCACACACATGCCCAGTATCCTCCAGGAAGTCACTGGATTTGAGCCAGGAAAACTTTTTCACATGGGGTTGCCTCACAGAGCATGGCCTTTTTTATTTTTATTTTTATTTTTTTGGAGAGTTTTTTTTTTTTTTTTTTGCTATAGGGCGCATGTGCTCGCCAGACAGACAGAGACAGAGAGACAGAAAGCGAGAAATCACCCCCCAGAGGGGATGGCCGCGCCGCAATCCCTTCTCCTCCATTCTCGTCTCAGGATCTTGGGCACGCACGCAAAGGCGCCCGGCATGAGTTTTAAGCCACCGGGTCCAGGACACGAACCACGGTCGACTACGTGGGAGTCCAGCGACATAGCCATTATGCTAACTGCTGGTCCCCCATAGAGCATGGCCTTTTACCACTGTGGCACAGTCTAGCCCCAACATAGGTATTTTTGACAGGGTCTTGCTGTGTCATAATTTTGTTTTCTGGGAGGCATATTTTAAAGAAGGAAACTGGGATATTTTGTATACTGTCGAAGGGCAAATACAAAGCAGGTTAATGCCTTTTTCCTTTTACTTTGTAGGAATTTATTCGAGAACAAGTGGAGGTAAGCTTTTCTCTTTTGTGGTGCCACACTTTAAACGCTTTGTTGTCCCATTTCCTTTTCCTGTTAATAATGTGTCTGTGCAATAGCTACTGCAGACCACAGGAGGCATCCGGGGGACTTTGCCACTGACCGTCCTGAAGGTGTTGGCATCCCAAGCCTGCCACGGTAAGACTCTCAGCACACCAGCTTTCGAGTGCCTCGGTGTGCTGAGCTCTGGCAGGGGTGCAGTGATGGTGAGAGAGGCAGAAAACACATGTACTACTCGCCTCTGGGAGAGTACGATTTAGATCAAGGAACTGAATACAAATGAAAACGAAGCGTGCAATAAATTACTTTCAGAAAGCAAAATAGCAACATACAACTCTGACTGTAACACAGACTGACTTACGCGAGTGAAAGACTATTTGAAAGAGCTGAGGGACATGGATTCATAGCATGGGCGTGGGAGTTCACCAGGGGAAACAGCCTGTGCAGACACAAAGGAGGAAACAAATTAGTTACATGAGGAGCAGCAGAGAATATCAAGAAATCAGGCTGGTAAGAAATGAAAAGCCAAGGTCACGGCCAAACATTTATATCTGATATAGAAGACATTGGAATCATTGAGGGTTCTTTGTCGCTAATTTTTGAGAGGTTTTTTTGTTTTTTTTTTTTTGCAATAGGGTGTGTGTGCTCACTGTAGAGACAGAGACAGAGAGAAATCAAGAAATCACCCCCCCGGAGGGGGGATCGCCATGCTGCAATCCCTTTTCCTCCATTTTCCTTGCATAAAGGCCAGCTCTAACAGTGTGAGAGTTCAGATTAGGAAGCTTATTATGGAAATTAAAAAAAAAAAGAAGCAAATAAAAAGGGCACTGTAAGGAAACAATTAGAAATTGCTTTCGGACAATCTGTGGATGAAAAATATCCTCAACTTCCCAAACCCATAAGGAAAAGACCTTGTTGAGAAAACCCCGAAAACAAGATCCAAACAAATTAAGGAACATCTCCTACGAGAACTATAATGACGAATGCTCCATGAGAGGCTGAGGTCAGTCCTGAAGCCTTAGTTTCACCTGTGGCCTGAAGTGCCAGCTGTAAGCAGTGCTAAAGCCATATGAAAGATGCCCAAGAAAAATGGTACTTTTCCAGACAGTTGGCTCTGGCTCTGATCAAGAGTCAGCATTGCTTCTCCACCTTAGGCAGCACAGCCTTCTTGTTTCTCGCTTCCGTTTAGGGGCCATTAAGTTTAATGATGGCCTAAGCCTAGAGGAGAGCCATCGCCTTATTGAAGCTCTGTCCTGGTGCCAGCTGCCATTCCAGTGTGCTCACGGGAGACCATCTATGCTGCCGTTGGCCGATATAGAACACTTGGAAGAGGAGAAACAGGTACATCCATGGCTAATGGGAGCAAAGTTTACCTTCTGTTTTCCAGATCCTACTGTCCAAATTCAGTCTCTCTCAACCCTTTCAAAATTATGAGAGTTCCGAAAAATCTGCATTACCAGTTTCATAGAAAGCCTCGTCCATTTAATTTCCCAGCTAAATTCAACATGGAATTTAGATTGAACTGTCCAATCAACCACATAATGGTTTTGTATTTTTTCTTTTTAGAGAAAGATTTTTGCTATAGGGTACATATGCTCGCCAGAGAGACACACACACACACAGAGACAGCAAGAAATCACCCCCTAGGGGGGATGGCCATGCCGCAATCCCTTCTCCATTCTCCTCTCAGGATTTTGGGCACACATGGACACGCTCCTGGCATGAATTTTAGGCTTCCAGGTCCTGGGCTTGAATTGCAGTTGACTACGTGGGAGTCCAGCGACATAGCCATGACTCCATCTGCTGGTCCTGGCTTTGTACTTTTAAACTTAACCTATGTACAGACTTATGTATCCTGAATGTCTGTTGCCTACTGGCTCCAGATTTAATAAGATGCAGAAGTTCCTCCTGGGGCTACAGAAAGTCTGTAGAAACACAGCAAATTTACTGGTGGCAATATAAAGCCTAAACATCCAATTTTTGATAGTACGTGCTGAAAGTGATGACCTGTGGTCTCCAAGGCTCTCTTAGGTACCGGTTGAAGATCATCAGACAGGAAGCAAGCTTAGGAGCTCTCCACATTATGCTTTGGCCCTGATTACTCAGCAACCCACAAATAATGAGTGGATAATTTGATAAAGGCATGGTGTGGTTTAAATCAAGAACATTTTCTGTCCTTGTTATAATCTTAAATTAAACAGGACGTGAGACCATAATAGGAATGTCTGTGTTGCTGCTTTCCAAAATCTTTATTTTGCTTACCTTTTCTGCTAAGGGTTAGAACAGGTTTTTTTGTTTGTTTGTTTTTGTTTTTCTGCATGGAGTTTTCAGGTGCAGTGTTTTCTCATCTGGTTGATCTGGCGCCATTAAAAAACTCTCTGTTTCATGTGACAAAAAAAAATAATAAAAAAAAGTTTTGTTCCCATTGCTGAAGAGATGAGAATCTAGGTTTAAACATCTCAAGTCCCACTGATCCTAAGGAAATTTATAATCTCTTCTGAATTCAGAAATTAGAAATCTAAGCAAATTTGAACACCCATACCTCAGAAATTCGTGTATGCTACAGGGCTATTTATACTGCTAATTGAAGTTCCTCTGTACCCACAGATTAAACCCAATCTTACTAAGCTTCGCAAAATGGCCCAGGCTTGGCGTCTTTTTGGAAAATCAGAAGGATGTGACACAAGGCAAAGCCTGCAGCAGTCCCTGCCTTCTTGTGAGCCACCATGAGAACAATTACTGATCTATAGGGAACCAAAGGGATGCTGCCAGTCCGCCTCTGAGCTGAGAGCACAAACAGCAGGTACCAGCACAACTTCGACCAAGTCAGTCCAGTGCATCTGAACAACTCCGAGAAGCCCGGCCCTTCCTCCCAGTCTTTCTGAGCCGATGCTCCCTGCACTTGAGTGGACAGATGGAACTGAGTTTTAGATATTGCATTCCTTTGCATCCATGGACATAGGTCACCAAATAATACCTGCCTTTGATAGTATGACTTACTTAGCAATGCAATTTAATTGTCTGGTTGATTGATTTTTGTTTGCAAGATGAATTTTTTGGTTTTGTGCAGTTGATTGCAGCCTCCAAGTTTGCATTTATGTAATTCAGCTGATGCTGAACTCTAGCCTTCACAGACTGCCCCAGTGTTGGCCATTCCTTCCCTCTTTTCTCTTCAGTTTTCTTCACTTCCTTCTGCTGCTTCTTTACATGCCAAGTCTCAGCCTTAAAGAATTTCTTTATTCTTAATTAAAAAAAAAAAAAAAACCACTTTCTGAGGTCTTCCATCAGGCCTTTAGTTAAATTATTTTAAGGATAAAAATTATTAATAAAGAAAAATAAGAAAAAGGATAGGTTACAGAAAATTTAAAGTTCTTTTCCTAATTTTTTTCATTTTATTACTTCCTTAGAAACTCAGACTGATGTTCATATTTCAAACCAGTAAAATGGTACAAGTTTTATGAACCCGTTTTTTAAAATATGATTTATTTTGTACTTCATAAGATATCTCTTCATGTGAAATCAATTGTCATATCAAAATGCAGCATTTATTCGTTCTGTGTAACCAGATCTGTTCAGCGCTTTTTTCTTTTTTCTTTTTTTTTCAGGAGATAAGTGTTCTTTTAACCCCTTTCAGTTGTATTTTGGCCTTATTATATTTTGCTTATCTAATGGCCTTATAGTTTGAATTGGGACCAGTACCAGTCTTCCTGCAAATACTTGTCATGCCCCTCTCAGTCTGTGCGTGTTTCCTCACCTTTTCAGATGGCTGGGTTTACAGGTAACAGGACTCAGTAGACTGAAGTCATAGAAGGGGACAAAGCCAAAACCAGCTGGTAATGTTTACTGTGTTGGGATGCTGCACGTTAGTGAGATGATGCAATGAAAATTTCCACTTTTGTATTTCCTGGCCAGCCTACTCAAATTGGCTTTTTTATCAATGGAATTATTTTACTCACTTTTTAATACAGGAAACAAACTTGTGCTCATGGAAGAAACTTTTCTTGCCAGCAGCCCTGGAGTCAGTCTCACGGAGCAATGAAAGTATTGCCTTCGTTTGTGTGTGGCTCAGAGAAGATTCAGGGGAAGCCTTCACTCGTTTGCAAGGGGATCCTTGCAGAGCCATGTAATTGTGACCCTGAAGAATAGACCCCACTGTCTAAAAATGGCCATCATTCTTCTAAATGAACATAAACGGGGGCTTCATAGACAGGGAAACATGACCTTGGAGATGGAGGGTGTTTTCAGGGGCTTTGCAAGGCTGTCAGGAGCTCTGCCTCCAGGCCCAGTGCGGAGAGCAGTGAGGGGGGGGCAGGAGGGGGAGCGGGCATGGCCTCAAGGCTTCTGCCTATTTCCGAAGCTGCTTGGAGGCCAACTGCCCTGAGTTTTTAAAATACTTTTAGATTAAACCAATTTCTGGGATTTAAAAGTGTTTCCCTATCTCTTATTAGGATATGGGGTGCAATTTCAGAAGACATTTGTTCTATATTATCCCAACCACTGTTTTCTTGAGAGTAGCAGAGAATTAGACAAAATTCCATAAATTATGTAACCAGTCTTCTTGGCTAGCTTGACTCAAGCAATGCAATAATTATCCTGTTTTAATAATTTATAGACTCAGTAGCATGCATCAGCATAAAAACAACCTATTACCCAAAAATATCTAATAGGTGACTTTTATTGCCTATTAGGATTTTATTTTGTTCTGTTTTGTTTTTAACTCAGATGCCACAAGAATAAAGATACATTTAACTTTTTTTCTTTTTTTGAGGGGGAGAGGTTTTTGCCTTAGGGCACATGTGCTTGTGGGAGGGAGAGACCGAGACAGTGAGAAAGTGAGAAATCCCACCCAGTGTGAATTTCAAGTCACTGGGTTTGGCACTCAAGCCGTGGTTGGCTATGTGGAAGTCCAGCACCACGACTTCTGTGCCGTCTGTTGGCTCATCATTTAACTTTCTAATACATGCCCGTATTTACTAATACCTATATGATACTTTAGGGTTTATAAAATAATTTTAAACATACTTTATCTTATTTGAATTCCTTAAAAGCCTGTGGGAAAAGATGGTGTTATTCTCCCCATTTTCAAAGGGGGAAACTAAGGCTGGAAATGGTAAGTACTAGTCTAAGTTCACGCAGCTAGTAAGTGATAAGGCTTTGAGTGGTGTTCATGTTTTTAGGTTTCAATAATAGGAATAATAGTTTTAATGTATTGGGTCGTCAGAAAAGTCATGACCTATTTTTGCATAGAAAAACAGAAAAATACATCATGACTTTTCCAACAATCCAATAGTTAGGGTTTTCTATAAACCCAGTGCTTTGTATAATTTTTCTTTTTATTTATTTATTTTTAAAAATTTGTTAGCGATTGCATGTAATCATTGGAGATAGAGAGAGAAAATGAGAAAGCAATCTCCATGGGGGATGGTCACACTACAATTCTTTCTCCTCCACGTCTCCTTTCTGGATTTTGGATACGCATGCACACACACCCTGCCTGTATTTCAAGTCGCCGGGCCTGGGACTCAACTCATACAGTCAGCCATGTGGGGTTCAGCTGCCTTAATTACCACCCACTGGCCGGTCCATACTTACCTGTTCGTTCGTTCGTTCATTCATTCATTCATTTATTTTAGGTTTTGCTGTAGGGTATGTGTGCTTGCCCGAAATCGAGAGAGGGAAAGTGAGAAATCACACCTGGGGCGGGGTGGGGCATGGCCACACCACAGTCCCTTTCCTTCATTCTCTCAGGATTTGGGGCATGCATACACAACTGCCCAGCGTGATTTTCAAGCTACCATGTCCTGGACTCAAACTACAGTCGGCCATGTGAGAATCCAGTGCCTTAACCACCACACCACCTGCTGATCCTATGCTCGTATATTTCTAATCCTTACAATGCTTCTCTTAGGCATCTATTGGTAGTAATTCCATTTTTGCAGTAAAGCTACAGAGGCTCAGAGATGTTAACTGGTTTGCTGAGGACCTCAGAGAGCTAGAATTCAGACCCAGGTCTGTGTGACTTCAGATCGCCCACATCTTCCCATTATTACTCCATGCTGCCCATACTTTTTTAATTTATTAGGAATTCATTAGTTTGTAAACGTGGTGCTTCAACTTTATTCAGTTCTAGTTGGGGGGAGGCTTTGGTGACTTCAGAGTAAAACTTGAGCGATCAGATATGAAATGCAGTCATTCTTTCAAGTTCATTTCTCAGTGCCATTCATCAGCATTTTACTGAGAAGTATTGGTGCATATGTCTGCCCTACCTGCAAAAGGCCTCTCTTTAGTCAGAAGCGGGAATACTGGGGGTTTCCTGCCAGTAGGGATCGCTGAGTCACAGCCAGTCACAGTTGGCCTTTTATTATGGAGATAAGGGGATAACAGTCCTACTGCCAGAATTAAAGCAGTTGGCAACTGGAAATAGAATCCAAAAAATGTAAAGCGAAGTGTAGAGTACAGGCTGAAAGAAAGGGAAAACAGGGAAGGAACTCGGGCAAGATCCAAACCTAGCTGGGAGCTGGAACTACACGAGCAGGAGAACCGAGAAGGTCTGGCAGTCAGAGGTCAGAGTGAGGCAGTGGGTCAGACACAAACAGCTGGGGTGTGGGCATAAAAGGGGGAAAAGGCCACGGCATGCAAAAACAGGCAGAGTAGGAGGAGACCCAAGGCCAAGTTCTAGAGCCGTGTGGGGAAGTGAGAAAGCCATGCCGAGTGAGAACAGATGCAGCCCATGAGTTCCTGGGGCCCTCACAAGCCAGCTTGGGCTGAGGCTTCAGGTCACAGCATGTCTGATGAAGGAAGAGCAGGCTCTGGCACACACCGCCCCTGTCACTTCGTTTTCCACTGAGGGGCCACCCATCCCATCAATACCGTCTCCCGAAGCTGAGAGAACTGGCTGGTGTGTCTGCCACTCTGCACGCCTGTTTCTACCCCCTCCTCGGTGAAGTTGCTCAACAGTGAGACAGCAGAAAAGGGGGGGCCAGAGAGGGGAAAGTAAATAAATCTGGGAAGCCAAATTCTGAATAAGCTGCACCAGATAAACCTCTCTTCTCTGCTCCCATCCTTCATTGATTCATCATTCGGCAGACATGTAGTGATTCCCCTCTACATGAATTACATCAGAAGTGGCAGCAGATATAAAGAAAAAGAGTGACTTCTCAAACCCTCGGGTCTCACCCTCATGCTCTTTTGTTACCGCACTCCGTCTCATCCAGAAACATCTGCTGAAGTTCAGGCACCCTGATCAAAGCCTGCAGGAATCTGCGTTCTGACTGGGACCTGCTGAGCCAGTAGGCTGGCGTGACTCAAACGGCAGTCTGAATAAGCGGGATCTGGCCAGCCTTGCCTGACTTTAACCTTGCAACTTGCTTACCTCAAAAGCAAGCCATGTCCAAAATTGCCCCCACCCAGCCCCTAAAAGTGATGGCTTAGAGTTAGCCGGTGCTAGTAGTAGTTTATCATTGCCCAGCATTGCAGTCTCTCTTTTATATTAGTCCACTGCAGAATTTTACATAAATGAATTTTAGGAATCTTGCCACGTTTTTTGTTTCTTCAGCGCTAAGTAGCTTCGCAGTAGTTTCTTTGCTAGGCAAGTCTTCATTCTAAATATAACATGCCTGAAAAAACGCACTTCTGAAAGGATCTCTCTTTTCTGCAGCATGTAGTGTAACCACCCAGCAATCACCATTCCAAGTGCTGGCAGGCGCCACGGCTGCCCCCATTGTACGAATGATGCAGAGACTGAGAGCTCAGGCTCTTTATTAATAATAACTCCCAGCCATTGCATAATATCCTGGGACAGCTGCTTGATGAATGAAAGAATACTTCACAGCAAAGTAGGCCAGATATAAAACCCTTCCAAACCACAGTTCAAAATAGCTCCCTCGTGTCAACTAGGTGGGTCTCTACAGAGGGAGATTTTGCGAGGACAGGTGGACGGTACGGGCCTTTACCGCGAGCACATCAGCATCTGGTGCAGTCTCTGTGGCAAGGGCATTCTGATGTGCCGCGCTCGACCCACGGAGTAGCCTGGAGTCACGTAGCCCCACGACGGAGCCGGGGCCTGGCAGCCTCGTTCACCCAGACTGAGGCCGCGGTTGTGAGAAGTGGCTCTGCAGCAGGTCTGTGACACCTACAGTCTGATGGGTGTGGCATTTCTTCCTTGGAGGTATCACTTTACACTTAAGTTTTTCTTGGTAAAATATTTCTCAGACTTCTCTTCTGAGGCTAAATTAAGAATTTCTGTGCCTTATTTGAGTTCCAAGAACTGTGCCTTTCTTGCCCTCCGCCCAAATTGGAAGATGGAAACCGTGGGAAAAAAGTGTCTTTACAAACTGCATTATCTGACTGGGCTTATTTAGCATATTCTGGAAGACTTTCACATCCAGGGAATACTATTTCTGTTCCTCTTGCCAAGCAGCTCAAGAGCTGGGTTTTGTTTTTTCCCCCTGAGTTTCTGGGTTCTGCCTATAAAGGTGAGGGTGAGAGGGGGACACAAAGGCTGCTGGGTAGTGAGTCAACCCTGGACTCCAGTTTCTCCCTGTTTAGTTCAGGTTCTCAGCTTCCAATATATTTTTTAATTATTTCTGTATTTATTTTTAAGTTTTTTGTAGGGTACACGTGTTCACCAAAGAGACAGCAAAAGAGAGGGAAAGTGAGAAAGCAAGCTCCCAGGTCCAGGCAGCTCGTGGGAGCCCAGCGCCTTAGCCACCATGCCACCTACTGACTGCCCCTTTTCCAGTATTTACCCCTCTGCAAAGAGGAGAGGGAGGGAGGGAAATAGGAAAAGGCTTGCTGGGGTTTACTTAATTTGGGTCATGATTCTAAACAATATACTCTTCTGCAGTTCTGATTCAGGCACTGTAAGAGTTGGCCAGGAAGACAGCGTTTCTACCCTTGTAACCTTCACCCATCTCAGTTATGCCTGGGAAGGATGTTGGAGCTAATTTTAGACAGAGACCAAGATGCACAAAGAACAAGTATCACAAAGCACTTCTGGAGCCAGGAACAGCTTTAAGTTCCTTGACTTGCTGCTCTGCTTACTCCAGGACCACACAGTTGCACGCGGGTCAGCTCCTGTTAGGATTGGTCCTTCAGAGGATACAGCTGCTCGTCATTGGTAGCTATAACCACTTCACTGGGACGCTGTGGGGTCTTAGATATTATAAGAAATACCTGATGGGGCCAGCAGGTGACCTAGAGGTTAAGGCAGCTGGATCCCACATGGCCAGCTCTGGGGTTCGAGTACTGTACCTGGCAGCTTGAAACACAACTGGTTGGTACATGTGAATGCTTACATGTGCAAAATCCCAAGGTAGAAGAGAAGGAATTTCAGCATGGCGGCCTCCCCTGGGGACGTTTGCCATCCAGACACTCTTCAAGCCACCCTCTATCTCTTCTACAAGTGCAAGCGCCCTATAGCAAAAACTTAAAAGAAGACTGAGGTCTGAGTGGGTCAGGATCTTCTGAGTCACCCAGGTTTTAGGTCAGTCTGAAACACTGACCCTCTTTTTTTTTTTTGAGAGGTTTTTGGGCGCGTGCGCTCGCCAGACAGAGAAAAACAGAGAGACAGAAAGTGAGAAATCACCCCCCAGGGGGGATGGCCACGCCGCAATCCCTTCTCCTCCATTCTCCTCTCAGGATCTTGGGCACGTACGCACACACGCCCAGCGTGAGTTTTAAGCCACCCGGTCTGGGACGCGAACCGCGGTCGACTACGTGG